ATAATACTATAAATTACTAGAACCTTTTATATAAATCCCAAATCTGGTTACTTTAGGAAAAATGTGAAGTGTATGCTAATCCATGAAAACGCACATTACTTTTTATATGTCATTAGTGGAGAATGCATGATTAACCGACATAGTAATTTGGGACTATAAAGTTGAGTGATGGACAAATCAAAAATTATCATTATTGATGGAGCGTGTGGTTTACTGGCACATCAATTTAAGATGATAAATGACCTCGAGTTTGTCAAGCGGGTTTGCATGGTCATTCACATCTCATTTGTGATCATCGGCTTCCCAGTCACAAAAGGTGAGAGCATAATATGAGATTAAACATGTTATTGATAAGATTCAATGTATCTCAAAAGATCTAGGAGTTTTATAAGATTGAAATTGGTAAAAGCCTTACGTACCTAAAATAGATTTGAATTTGATTACGACATCCCTTTTCAAAGTTTGAGTCGAAAATATGGATCCTAGCCTTAATTTAATTTTTTGGTTAATAATTAAGAATTAAAATCAACTAACTTAATTCTCTCTTCTCCCAATATTAGATGTCAAATCAAGACAATGATGGTATTCCTAGTTCTTTGGGAAATGTTTTTCCTCAATCACCTAGAAATGGTATTTCGCATTCTCATCAAGGTGAAAATGTCTTCTCTTCTTTGGCTAATGGTGGAATTTGACATCGTCCTTCTTTAACTCTTCCACCTCCTCCTCTTGTGACTCTAGCAACATCATGATTTGAAAGATATGAAAAAACTCAAGCCCTTTGGGCATGTAAGCTTGAAGATGGAAATTTTGTGTGTGCACACGTTCTAAAAATGAAGTCGTACATTGACAAGTTGGAAAGGATGGGTTTCGTATTCCTAAAGGAGCAAGCCTATGATTTGGTTCATTTTCACTTTTTGAGTCATATGGTGAATTCTTTAAGAACTTTCATATGAGGATTCTCGATGTGACCCTAATTGATGTGATTTATATGTTGTGGTTGCTGAAGCAGAACTGCTTAAGAACACAACTAAAGCAGAAATCCTTGTAGGGTCTAATTCCAACAATTCTATGGACATTGACAATTGTAACATTAGTGAACTAGTCAATATTTCTCTTCCCAATCAAAAGGGATCGACCAAGGTCAAACCGTTTGATCGTATGGTAAAGAGAAAGGTTCGTTCTAAGATCATTACACATGTTGACCCCAATGATTCCATTTATTTCTACTGCCAATTGAAGAGTCATTGGAAGTGAAGCTGCCCAAACTACCTGAAAGATCTTAAATATAGTAAAGTCAAGTCGTGTGACTCTACTTCTGGTACATCCATTATCTTACTCCATAAGTTCTTATTCTTAGACACTTAATACATAATGTTATGATCACATTTTGATGGTATTGCAGGATCTAAACGAAAGAATGAAGCTTAAGCATAGTGAGCAAAATCTGATCGTGGGAAATGGACTTTGGTCACTTGGTTCGATGGTCATAATTTGGAGCTATTGCTAGGGAGTTAGGATAATGTAATAGATTTCTATTACTCTCTTCAAAGATGTTTAGAAATATAGTTTTCATTTCGTGCATTATCAGGACAAGTTAAAAAAAATTTGTTTATTTCAATAAAGGCGAAGTTTTGGTTTACTTAGTTGCCTTATCTTATTTCCTTGCAATGACATTAACTAAAGTGTTGGTTATGTTTCAAATAATAACAATATTAATTGTGCATTTGATTCTTATGATATCACTTGTGGTATTTGTAACATCCGCAGATTCGAGATAGTCAATTAAATAGAATAAGCTATAAAAATGACTTTTGATAGAAGGTTATTTAGGATAAATAACCTAAAACAAAGTTATAATGTATGTGACAAGGGTTTCATACATATAAATAACGCTAAAATCCGACTTCGTATGAAAAGGTTATGCTTCTTCGAAGTTTTGTGATTAAACCGGCACGGCTCTACGTATCGTAAAAAATGTTTTTTTTGATAAGTTGCTTTTTCGTCTAAAATGTCTAAATGAAAGTCGCAGTATTCGTTAAACCGAGAGCATCCATATAGTAAATGTCCATATCTGACTTTATCAGAGGAAGTTATGATTTTTCGAAGTTTCAGCTTAGTAGTATACGGCTCAGAAACCGAAGTAGAGATCGGTCGATTGTTAGGAAAAACAATCTAAACGACAGTTGAGGATCTTGTCCAAATGGTTCCATCGATATAAAGACAGCCGAGAACGGAAATCATATGAGAAAGTTATGAATTTTTAATGGAATTTAATGGTCTAAGTCTGTTAAAAATATAGCTTTATAAATAAATTCAAAATTAGCCGATGCAGTCCAAATGAAAGTTGTGGATCTCGTCGAGAGCTTTATGAGGTTATAAAGAATGTTGAAAACAGAGCTCGTATGAAGAAGTTACGACATTTTGAATATCTGGAAAATCGCGCGCACGAAATGCACGACGCACATCGTTGACGTGACACTCTCCGAGGGATACATGTAGCAGTGTCAGACGCCCCTCTCCCACGAAGACAAGGTGACGTGGACAATGTAATTGTGGACACGTGGCTCCATGAAATGGTGACACGTGTCACCTTATAGAAGAGTGGGAGGCGGCTTATCCGAGCAGCGACACGTGGTGAAAAGGGAGTGGAGCCAGCAGACACCAACTGCGCAGCTCGCACAGTAAAAGGGCACGGCGCCCACCCCTTGCAACCTATATAAACCTCGCGAATTCACTTTATTTCTCACCTAACACTTCCAAAACTCTCTACATACTCCATAGTACTTTAAATCCAAATTTTTTGGATTTCCCTAGGGTATTTAGCAAAGGTTGTGAGGGGTCTAGAAGTCCGGAAAATAGAAGCTTTGTAAGTTAAGCTACACTCTCTATTTTAGTGTAACTTATATTTATGGTCATAAGTCCTTATTATGAACCTATAAATAAGATTTATCAGTAATTTCATGTCGTTATACTGATTAATCTACTTACGAGAGTGATGTCTAGGCTGGATTTAGTAAGGTATTTAAAATGGGATTTCCAAACAGTATACTCTGTATACTCAATTGGTTAGTTGATTACTCGAAACATTATACAATGAATAAATACGTAATTGTTATGGTGATTAAATAATGGGAATTTATTTATGATCAATAGGTATGATACCATAGTAAATTAATTTATTATTGTGTTTCACTTTGGATGTTTTACTTGCCTGTGTAATTTTAATATTATTCAAAATTTCATAGTCGTTCATACTTTTGGAAGTAAGTAACGAATTACGATTGTCATGAATTGATTGTAGATTGTTGATTGAGGTTAAAATATTGCAATTGGAATTGCTACAGTATTCACGAGTAATTTGAAAATAGAGATTTTCATTATTGGATAAACTCACTCTTAGAGATTACTTAATGGATTCAATCACAAGTAATTTTAAGACGATAATATCTTTTATTCTTAAAGAGTGTGTGTGTGTGTATATATATATATATATATATATATATATATATATATATATATCATAGTTTACAGATCAGTTGTGCATTGGTTTCCTCAAACGCATCTCGTAACTGGATGTTATAGAGGGTTATTCCATGTGTGATTTGATATGTAAATTTTATGACTATATAGTCAATATAATTTGTCCCTTTTTCCTGAATAAGGAAATGTGATATCTAAGGACCCCTCGGTGATTTGAGTTAATCGATCAAAACCAGGCGTCTAGTACAGACTAAATTGATGTGTTCGATTTTGTAGTCTAAATTGATCACAAATCGGGAAATAAATAAATGAACATGAGGTTGTTCATTTAATCCATGACTCAGTTCATACAATATCTTGTAGAACGAAGGAGTGACTGATCACTTATTTTAGGGCCAATATTTGATTTGAATCAGAGTTTAGCAGTGGCTTTGGAAAGCACTCTTTGTTGTTTAGTTCAAGGTCTATACTTGCAATTGTTGTTACAGACTTATCCAAGTGGGAGACTGTTGGATTAAGGTGTCTAAATCAGTAACTAAATTGGTATATTCTTGTATTTAGAAGTAAAGTCCTTTGTGGGTTTCCCTCATGACCAGAAATAGCTAGAAATGATATTAGGAGAGAGAAGTATAATTTATTAGATTATTATATGATTAATAAACTAATTAGAAATTATGGGAAAAAGGATTTGATAATATATTATGTGATTAATATATTAATTGGAAATAGACAATTGATTTGTTAATTTATTATGTGATTAATAGATTAATATGAGATCAATTATTAAATGATTGATTTGTTAATTTATATGATTAATAAATTAATGTGAAATTAATTATAATTGATTAATTGTTAATCAATATTTGACATTTATTTGAGATTAATTGAAATTAATTTAAGGTGCAAGGGGTGAATTGTAATTGACTAATTGTTCAATAGTTGAACAAAAGAAGCAATTCTAGAACCTTCCATGATATGGACAGTTTTGGAGGGTTTCGTAGGGTTTCTAGAAGACTCCTAGTTGCATAAAAGGAAATGATTTGAATTATGATTAAATCTATTATTTAATCAATTCAAATCTTGCTTTGTCTACAAGTTACCTGAACTATAAATAGGACGCATTGGCTTGCGGTTTTTGTTCAACACATTATCAAAATGCACAGGAACGAAATTCCCTTCATACCTCCTATCTCCTCTTCATTCTAGGGTTTCTGGTTTTAGGTGTAAACCATTAGAGGCATCATCCTTTTGGTGCTTTCTTTCCAAAGAACATCAAGAGGATTTGATTTGGTTATTTTCTATAATAATCAGAAGGTATCTAACCCTAATCTTTATGTTAATTTCAATTTTCATAGCCTCTCTCTAGGGTTTCTTGATGTTCATAGTTTTTTGCTATAAATAGAGAAAACATAGATCATTTCTAGGTTGCATGTGAACTTAAGGGTTTAATTGTTTTTCCGCCACATGGATTTTTTTATAACCTAAAAAACCCATCAATTATATCTTTAATTTCGGATCTTATGATTAATCCAACTACAACTCTTGGAGAAAAACCTTCTAAAGATAATGCTGCCAGTTTTTTCAGAGCTGATTCATCTTTAGATGATGATCATTTGCATAACTATATTGGTGATGATTTTTTTGTCGAAATTGTTGCTCCAGTCGTGCCTCCTTCTTTACTAGGCGATGGAAGTGAATTTGATCAAGAAAAGGAATTTTTGACTTTGACTAGGAAAGATTACATGTCTTTGAATCGAAAGCTAAATATGTTGGTCCAACATGGTGAATATTTTTCTTCTTCTACCTTCACCAAAATGATCTTTGGTCATGAAGCCATAGTTAAACAACTTCTTTACAAAAATGCCAAGTTGATTAGGAAAATGAGAAGTTAGTATTGTAGCATACAAAGAAGATGGACATGGCTATGATTGAAATCAAACAGCCTCGGAGACTTATATTGAATGACAATAAAGTTCATTATGCAAGTATCACCAACACTATTCCTGCTTTAGCCCAAAATTTTGATTTTAGAGCTTAATTGGCTGCTCAAACTGAACGAAAAAGTTTAAAGAATGAATGACTTAGCAGGAGTTTCATTTTCTAAAAGAGGATATTGAAAAGAAGGATGATGAGCTTGTTTTGGTGAAAGCTCGCAATTTCAAAATAAATCACAGACTTATGAAGATTCCTAAAGTGAAGGATGCTCCTTATATTAACTATATCTCTACAATGCTTGATGATAAGCTTCAAAATTTGTTTAATAATATTTCTGTTTCTGGTGGAGTTTTGACTAGAGGGGTTAGTTTGAAACCAGGAGGAGAAGGTATCACTATACCAAAGTCAACTACTCATATTGTGAATATGTACGTTTTTCCTCTGATGGGTTCGAAACCCGGTGCAGACAAGAAGGTTGTTTTTGGTTTTCTATCTCTTGAAAAGAAACTGAAAAATGTTATTCCTCTGAAAACTTCTGTAGTTGGCACTATTTCATGTTCAGATGCACCAGAAGTTAATAATGTTGATCAATCTAAAACTGATGAAGAGTTGGAAAAATTAGGATAGTGAGATATTAAGGAAAGATAAAGAGCTACAGAAAAAAGAGATAGACAAATAGCTAGACTATCTTTGGAAGATTTATGGACTAAGTGGACAATGAAAAGAATTAAGGATTTGGCTATTGAGAATTTTGATAACTTCTAGTTGAATCTGAGAGAATCTTTTGATATCAGAAATATTGATGTTGTTCATCTTAATTTTCCACTTTCTGCGAGATCATTCTTATGGAGGTGTTTTGTGAATACACACAAGGTTGCTTTGTTTAATAATGCATTAAACAAGAAGCTTTTTGAATTTTATTCCTCTTACTTAAGACCACAACAAAGTGTCTGGAGTTCAAAGAAAATTTTTGTTGTTGTTTATTGTGAACTAAAAGAAACTTGAATGATATCATCATTAACTACAAGTTCAAAGTGTTAAGAGGCAGTGATCATGACGAAGTTCAATTTTCTTTGGTTGATCTTCCTATTATCAATCTTCATGATTGGTTCATGCTTTTAGTTGCTCTTGATAGAGATAAAGTGATGTATGTAGAGCATATTTCCCATTTGAAGAGAATTATTAGGTTTTACTTTGTTAAAATTACCAAGATAGATGTTGAATTGGCTGGATTTTTGAAACAAACACCAACTACCAGTCCATGTGACCAACCTGATAGTATTCAGAATAAGAAGGATGGTCTGATTCAGAGTGAGACATCGGGAGTTGTGTATTAAACTGTTTCGAAAAAAAGGTTCAAGAATCAAATGTTTTATATGCAAGGCCATTACTACAAAACTGAAACTTTGAATGGAATCCTTATGAAGATTGAGTTATGCAAGAAAAATTCTAAGGATGGAGTTCCTAGTGTATCTGAAGTCCTGAAATGGAGGATTATTATTCAGACTATGTTGCTTGGATATGCCCCTCATATTTTTGCTGAACAAGCTTGGAGACTACTTTTGTAGACTCTCCACAAACGAGAGATTATTAGGTCTCAGAATGTTGTATTATATTGTGTCTTAGTCTTTTGCGACAGATTTACATGTAATATTCATTCTTCATTGTCATGTTAGTTCTAATGGTATGTTTGTTTCAGAACTTATACACCTAAGGTTTGGAAGTGACTAATCTTTACAGTTTGTATTTTGCGTCACTTCTTAGGTGTCATAACCTTATTAATTATTCTCTAACCAACTCCCTTATAGTTGACCAATAAATAGGGATGTTAGTTAGAAGGTAGAGTAAGTCTTTTGCTAGTTCTTACACTTTGCGTTGTAATTGAGCTTCTTAATCTCATTTGAATGAAACATAAAATTATTTACATCCTGATCATTCATTTCATTCTAACCTGATATTCATGATTTCTTAGTAATTGAACTACTTAACCGATCTTACAACTCTAATACTTAATCTCTATTAAGTAAACACGAGTACAAGTCATATCTCTATGATATATCCATCTCAATGGACAGTCTACTAATACATTGTGTTAGTCTTGAATCATTACTTACTTACTTACTTGAAGTATGACCAGTTGTGGAGGCTTTGGAAAAACTAATATTTAGGAAGTCAAGTAAACATGCAAAACGGAACATAGTGATAAACAAATGAAAATGAATGCACCCAACTTATATTAAGATCTCTACATAATAATCCTCAAATAAGATTAAGATGTATATTGTATAAGTTGCCAAATAGAAAACCAGCTAAATTAAATATACTCAAATAAATTTATTTCAAATCTAATGCTTATCGATCTAGTATGAGAATCATGCTTGGAATGTGACAATGGTTTAGTGGGTGTATCGGTAAGGTTCCCTTTCGATGCAACTCTACTGACTATGATGTCTTCATTTTCTAATTAACTCTTCATCTTATGGCGAGTTAATAAAGTAGTCCCTTATTCTACTTTTGTCATCCTATGCTTATAGTATATATTGTGTGTAATCCAAAAAGACCTTGCTAATTATAGAAACATTACTAACTTTTTGTGACTCCAGACATATTTCCAAAAGATACAACGCCTAATCTTCATCATAACCCCTAAGAATCTCATCACTTTTGTAAGTATGGAAACTTATCTTTACTTCAAATACGAACCAATGTTTGTCACACTTCTTTAGGAATTGGTTATTTCGTAGATAATCTCCCAAGCCATGCTTCTTGTCATCCATAAAGCCTATGCCGACTTAGAAACACCCCTTCTATGGGTTAGAAGACATAGTGATTTCTTCTAAAATCTTTAAAACATTTTAAAAACAATGTTGCGAAATTCGGTCCCGAAGGTCAAATAAACAATTTTAAGTTCAAAAGTTCATAGTTCCAAATATGATGGTGATCAATAAAATATAATTACAAAAGTTAAATTTAACCATAATAAGCTATTGCCTTCAAAACTTCCAAGCAGTCTCTATCCGTAGACCTCATGATCATTTGTAAGTACATGTCAGGATATAATGTTAGGCTTGGGGAGCTTAGTGAGTAATACCAGAAATAAACATTAAAATGGAATTCGGTAATGGGCATAGCCCAAATACCAAGTCTTAATTCCTAGAACATTTTAAAAAACATTTTCAACAAATTTGAATAACGAGTTAGAGGTCAAATGGGTCAAAAGAATGGAAGATAATTTTTCTCCTAGAACATTTTAAAAGACATTTTCATGCAATACACAATCAAGTACATATTTTTTTCCATTTAAAACATGTGAAGATGTACTTCATGTGATGAACAATAATGACATAATGACCACGTAGCAAATAAGAGTACATATGGTATAAATAATACCAAAAAACATCAAATTTAGTATTAAAGGACCTATTTACTCACGTTAAGTGTTACCACATAGCAAATAAGAGTACATATAGTATAAATAATACCAAAAAAACATCAAATGTAGTATTAGAGGACCTACACTCTAGATATTTACTCACGTTAAGTGTTTGTCATTCTTCTCTGCTACTTACAAGTCACACAAGCTTGCTAATGATAATCAATTAAAGGTTAAACAATTACTAAAATATTTGTATGAAGTTGTTAACCTCATTTTAAGGGGGGTAATTATTAGTTCTAAGCTTATATTGATGCTATGGAGGTGATTAGAGGTCAAATGGGTCAAAAAAAATGGAAGATAACCTTCATGGAATTTTCAAGTCATTATGTAGTCGTGTAATTTAAGCCCAAACAATTACATTATTGTATAATTGCTTCAACTTAACTGCACTTTTGAAATTTTCTGGTCCCAATGAAATCTCTTCCTCTCGGTCTCAAAAACTCTCAAACAATCCAGCCTAAGTATGATGCACAACTAGGATGCTCAAAATTTGTTTTCAATAAACTATAACATTTTTCCATTAAAAACATGTGCAAATGTATTTTATGCAATGCACTCTAACATCCCAAAAATACCAATAAAATTTTCATTTTTAAACCATCAAATCCATACTATAATTTGTTCCAAAACCAATCAGAGTAAAATGTATCTCTCAAACATCAAGGTAAAAACAATAATCATTAGTGTGTAAAAAGCCATCAGGGGATGTTGTGCAGTCAAGTCGAACCCTTCCCTTTGGAACTGGAAGTATCTGAAAATGTTTATAACATCCCAAAAATCACGATAAAATTTTTCACCTTTAAATCAAGAGTAATCATTGTTTTCAGACAAAACCCAAATCAAAACCAAACGTTTAAAAAACATTTTTCTCAAAAATAGAAATCGTATATTAGAGTGTCACAAATTAGTATCATCAAAACCAAGAGGATGTGCACGATCACGCCTTTGGTTTCCCACGGTCATCCAAAGTACTTAAAACATTAGACTGAAACTGTAAGCCAAAACTTAGTGAGTTTCCCCAAAGTACCACACACAACCATACATATAACTGCATGCATACATGAGCCTTCAGCCTGACTGGACCACTGCAACGGGCCTGCGGCCTATTTGGACCGCTCTCGGAGCCTTCAACATGACTGGTCCACTGCACCAGGTCTATAGTCTATCTGTATCGCTCCTTGGGTCTTCGTCCTGACAGGACCGCCTCGCAGTCATTTATTCTATCCGGAACGTCTTAGGTGTCTTGGCCGTCAGCACTAAGCAGGACTGCCTCAACCCAACAAACCACAAAATCTCGGCATATACAATAACATTTAATAACCAGCAACACAAATAATCATACAGATCTACCAGTCTAACACATACTCAGCGAACACAGGTAATCATACAGATCAACCAATCTGATACATACCCAATGTAACATCAATCCAGTATACTAGGATACATAATCCAGTGGGTCAGCATTGGTGCCTTCGACCCATAAGTATAGTGAGGAAAACTCACCTCATAGACAGACAAGAT